ATGTTAATATTTAGGAAGTAACTAAACATGCAAATGAAACATAATAATGTACTCAAAGAATGTAATTTCTCTATAGCATATATTAAGATATCTAGAATAAATGTTATTACATCATGAAAGTGTATAATGTATAAGTTACCTAACAATAAATCAACTAAAGCACACTTCCATAGTTGTTTTTCGATTCTAATGCATATAGACCCATTATGATAATCATGATTTGTATGCGACAATGGCTTAGTGAACACATCAACGATATTCTCTTTCAATGTAAACTTTGATAACTATGGTGTCTCTTTCTTCAACAACTGTGCAAATATAATTATATTTCTTGAGTATTTTTCCTGTGCATTTGTGTGCCTTGGGTCTAGCCAATACGGCTACACCCTCGTTGTAGTATATATATATGTGGGATTACCATGGTTTAAGATCTTCGATGAACTACTTAGGGTGTCAACCCCAAAAGGGGTAAAAATAATATATCTTAGTTTCTGTTACTTTGCACCAAAACATACAAGATAAGTGGGGTCGATCCATAGGGACATATGTCTAAGTTACTGCATTTTCTATATAAAGAAATGTAATAAAAAAATGAGGGTTGTTTGTTTAAAAGAACTTGGAAAATAAATAACATGAAAGTAAACTGAATGAAAAAACCTAGTTAAGAAATATTTGGTTATGAGTTTTACTTATCGAGTTATGGAATCAACCTTGAAGTGACATTAAAATCAATTCTATCTAATATGGTATTAAAAATACTAACATGCTCTAGTATATTTCATTCTACAAAATATTTAACCAAACGAAGATCGTTGGATAAGCCTAATTTTACTAATCTAATCTAAACAAACTATTAGATTTTAGATTGTAAGACTACCCTAAGTGCTATGTGAATATTCTTAATAATGATCAATACTTCTCACAGGCACAAGACACAACGCTATAAGCATTAAAGCATATTTTTTTGTTTACATTGAAATTGATCCCATTAAAAAACCAACTTAATTTTTATTACTTATTATCAATTCATAAAACATTTATAAATTTCATAAATTGAATAACATGAATGATCTAACCCTAATTCAAGTGGTCAAAATGAACCAAGTAAAAAATAACACCTTTAATTAAAGAAAAACTAACATTTGATAAATAGCAGTAGAATTCAACATCAAATCACTTAATTAACGACATAATTCAAAAGAAACTATATAATCAAAAGTGAAAGAGTTAGCCACATGACTAATCTGGAATCAAAGTCTAAAGATAAAGATAATCACGAATTCAACTTACAAAATGAAAATCACAATGTTGTTAGAATGAAATAAATATTCTTTTCTTCTCTCTAATCATTAGTCTCTCGAAACAAAGTTTTTCTTTTTATTATAATAACCCAAAAAATGTATAATTAAGATAGCTAGATTGCAAGTTGTGATCAACAAGTGTAATGGAAAAGCAATATGAACACAATTTTATGTGTTTAGGGGCATTTTAGTCTTTTATACAAAATATATGAAAATTTAGCTATTATGGTATTTTATAAGTTATTATGATGTTATATAATTTATATAGAAGAAATAAATGGATAAGTGAAGTTATAAATGAAAGAAATGTAATATTGAGTTTTTAGATAAAATGTTCTTAAATAGCATCTTTGGAATTTTATAACTTTAAATTTGGAGCCATTGAGAAGAGGCTATATAAATGAAAGTTAATGTGTATAAGAAAGAAATTACAATATAATATTTCAAATTTATTGGAATTAAAATGAAGTAGTTATTTTTATTTGAAATTATCTTGCTTAAAGCCTAATAATAATAATAATAATAATAATAATAATAATAATAATAATAATAATAATAGGTGCTTACTCATGTTCACAAAGTAATTACTCAAAATTGGGACATATTTAGATAAACAACAATGAAAAGAAGTTCTAGATTTTGAAATTATCATTTTATGGATATAGTATTCACCAAAATTGGAGTTCAGGTGAGTGAGTTATGCATGATTGAAGTTATAAGAAAAGTTCAACAAAACACTTGTATAATTTACCAAGTGTTAAAGTGAGTATGCTTAGGAACCTATGTTTAAGGCTATGAAAATAAGGTAAGAACTTAACTAATAAATGAGTGGTTTAGTTTAACTTATATACCATATATAGTAGAACAAATAGTGAAATGAATCAATCCATATGGATAGTATATGAGAAAGTTATGAAGATTGAAAGTTGGTTATAAAGTCATTGAGTACAAACTAGTTGTAAGAATAAAACAAGTTAACAACCATTTTCGGATGATCTATGCAATGCTTAATACTTGAAAACACTTTTTAATGATTAATAAGTGATTTGGGATGAATGGGAAGAGTCCATGAAGCAAAATAAAGAAATTTGAGATTATTGGAAAAAGTTAAAAATGGATTGAGAAGCTACAGTGAGGCCAAAATATATGCCTTCCTGAGTCCAAATTACGGCTATAATATATCATTGGAAAGTTCTTAAAAATTATAAACATTGAAAGAAATCTCAGGCTAAATAAAATTCGTATGAGGGAGATACAAAGGTTCAAAACTGAGAGAAATTAGAATTGGACAAAAGTAAGTTTCAATGCAATCAACTACTCGACCGAGTCAAGCGGCTTGGCTCACTCGATTCAAGGGTCAAGTGGGTGGCATGTGGGCTAATACTCCCTCACTCTATCGGTGCATGGCCACACATGGAAGGATATTAGCCAATGATATTTTGATAGGATCTAGGTGTAACGCCCATACTTTTTATTACATAAATTATCATGGTTAGATATTGTGATGAACCATCACAGTAAAAACATATTTTTATGTGTTACGTATTTATATGTATTTTAAAGTATTTATGTGTTTTTGTTAAGTTTTTTATATAAATGTTTATGTATTTTAAATGTATAAACGTATTTTTATGTATTTATATTTTTTTAAGTATTTTATATTTTTTTTGTATTTTTATATGTTCCTTTATGTATTATGTATTTATATGTATTTTTATGTATTTATATGTATTTTTATGTATTTATGTATTTTTGTAAAGTTTTTTATATAGATGTTTATATACTTTTATGTATTTTAAATGTATAACCATATTATTTTTACATATTTATGTATATCAAGACAAGCAAATGGAAAAAACTTAAAATGTATGGATATATAGGAAAACCATCTAAACATACCCAAAGAAGTTGTGTAAAATGGATGAAATGATGAAAACGACTTAAAGTAAAAAATATGTAAATATGTAAAAATAATACGGTTATACGTTTAAAATATATAAAAATACATAAACATCTATATAAAAAAAAACTCTTAAAAAAATACATGAATAAATAAAAATACACATAAACACGTAATACATAAAAAACACATAAAACACATAAAAATATATAAAATCCCTAAAATACATATAATACTTAAAAAATACATTTATACATTTAAAATACATAAACATCTATATAAAAAACATAAAATATATATAAATACATATAAATACGTAATACATAAAAAATAACACATAAGAACACAAAAAAATATCTATAATACTTATAAATACATATAAACACGTTTATACATTAAAATATATAAAAATACGTAAACATATACATAAATAAACTTTAAAAAGTATATAAATATGTAAAATTAGATATAAATATTTACAAAATATGTTTATATATTATATAATTTTTTTGACAAAATCTATATAAAAATCCAATTATTTAAAAAATAATTAATGATTTTGTTTCATAACTCGCTGAACAGGTCAAAAAGAAATAAAATGAATAAATTATTAAATTTGTTATTCTTTTCTATTCAAAAAGATAAATAATTGAGATATTTCTGTTAAAAAAAATAATTTATTAATTTATAAAACTTCACAAAATATTAAGACTTTTTATGAAGATTTTTCGTCATATGTCAATAAATCATTTTATCTAAAACTCTTTTTAAAAATCAAAATCAAATACCAACACCCTCTAAACCTATCACTTCTTGACCTGACTCGACTCTACCCTACCAAGGGTAATTACCATCTAAAATTATAATAGTTTACTATTAAAAAATATTTGTAAATATTGCAAAATATTATATTATAAAATATTTTATTATTATTAAACCTTAACTTTAGTTTTTTTTTAAAAAAAAAAAAAAAAAAAAAAAAGATAGTTGCATGTGTTTGTTTCACAAACAACCTCAATTTTTTTTTCATGAAATAAACCCTCAACTTTTTATTTTATTTTTTCGAAAAAACCTCATAAAAACTCAATATATTTTCATCAAATTCTTATTTAAGATTTTCTAACCTCATAAAAACCTAATCGGTTTTGTCATAACTAAAAGAAACCGACGATATCAGAATTTTGAATTACTTAGTCCTCACTGACAAGATCAAACGCCAGTAGGATCATCGACGTCTTTGGATTGATTCTGCAATTCTATCTCATCAATCTTAATCTTCTATTGGTATCGTATTTTCTTCTTAGCGTGCTCAGTCGGTTGTTTTTTCTGATGGGGTCTAACGATCGTTGGAATCCTAATGAACCTTGGTCCAAGCATCAGAATTCGTATGGTAATCGTATCTCCAAAGGGCAGCGAAATCATCTTTCACGTGAAGGGAATCGTTTCTCAAGTAAGGATGAAATCATATCTCCTATGCTAGTTTTGTTAGGGGTGCTCAAAAAGATAAACCTGTAATCAACAAGGTTGACGACATAATTCATATCACATCCAAAGATTTCATTGTTGAAAAAAAAACGTACTTGTTTAGTCAAAGCTAGGGATTTCCTTACTTTGCCTAACCTACGGATGTTATGTTTTTATGAAGGATATGAAGAGTTTGGCATTCGATATGTTTGTGGTTTTTGGGTTATGTTAACATTTAAGCACAAAGAAGGTTGTTAGAATTTCTTTGCAATCGATGTTATGGATCATTGGATTTTTGATAAATGCCCTTGGGATAGAAATTTTATTCCTCCGAAATGATTGGTTTGGCTAGATGTGGAAGGATCGCCTTTACGTGCATGGAGCAAAGAAAACTCATGAATAAATGGGGAAGTATTTTACGCCTTGATGATAGCTTAGGAGAAGACATGTACAAAAACCGAATTTGTATTTTGACTACGTTTCAAAGAATTATTTCAGAAGTTGTGAAAGTTAACGGGAATGAACCATATGAAAATGAAGATGTTATTCCCGATAATAACAGTTTTGATGAGAACATTCATGGGGAGGGACAGTTTTGGAAATCTGATGTAATAAAACAAAAACGGCAGTTAGATCCTGTTGTTGCTGCTGTTAGGCGTAAGAAGAATCAAAATTTTTTATTTGTTGACAAGGAGCAGCCGACAAATTCCAAGCTACTTTCATCGCCAACTGCATCTCCTGTTGCTGCTCTTCAAGCAACTTCAGCTACTTCTGCCATTGTTCCGATCACAACAGGGCTACAATCGCCTGTTGTGGTGTTGACAGTTGCTGCTCAGAAAAATGTCGTTGTTCCAGTGGGTTTTAGTGGAGGATTTGGTTGGGTTTTGGGGGTGGTAGATTCGGGGGATAACCTTTTACATCCACCACGATTCTCAAACTTCAGAGGTTATGAAGGATACTCGGAGAAGTCTTTTACCAATGGATATTTTTTAAATGAAATCCAGAAAACTTTGGACATTGGGAAGGCCATGGGGTATAATTTAGACGAGTGTTACGAGTGTGTAAAAGAAATAGTTGAAGGTAACGATGATACGAGAGCGCTGAGGTCTTTTGGGGTATTAACTCGTTGGTAATCCAGTTATTGTTAAGGAGGAATTCCGTGATTTTTATCAATTTTTGTTCTACAAAAAGAGTGGTCGGAGACCTAGGACGGATGCTTCACATTTCTCCATGTTGGCAGTTTCTCAGATTCAGTTTCTTCATGGTCCTTTTACCCGTGATGAGATTAAAAAGGGAGTTTGGGATTGTGGTTCAACAAATTCTTTGGGACCAGATGGTTTTTCTTTTGGTTTTATTAAACGGTAGTGGGATATTTTAGAGGAGGATGTTGATTTTGTGACACATTTTTACACCCACTCCTCAATTCCAAAGGCATGTAATGCTTCGTTCTTTACTTTGATTCCGAAAGTTAGAGTTCCAAAGAATGTCATAGATTTTAGACATGTTAGTCAAATTGGTTGTCAATATAAGTTTATTGGTAAACTTCATGTTAATAGATTGGTCAGATGTCATTGGTAGTGTGGTGAGCATGGAGCAATATACTTTTATTAAAGGCAGCCAAATTTTAGATGTCCCCTTTGTTTTGAATGAGATCGTAAGTTGGAGTAAGTCTTCTAAATCCTCTTTTGTTTTTCAAAGTGGATTTTGAGAAATCTGATGATTCTCTCTCGTGGGAATATCTGATAGAGATTATGCAGATTATGGGTTTCGGGTCTTTTTGGTGTGGTTGGATTATGAAGATGTTATCTTCTGCCACAACTTCAGTTCTTGTTAATGGGTCTCCTTAATGATAATTTCATATGTTTCAAGGTTTGAAGGAAGGTGATCCTTTATTCCCCTTTCTTTTTGTTTTGGCTATGGAGAGTTTGCATTTGGATTTGGCTAGGTCACAGATGACTACTGTTTATATGGGGAAATGATATTTCTCATCCTCTTTATGCTGATAATGTAGTCTTGTTGGCTAAGTGGGATCAAACGAATGCTCTTCACATAGTCCGCATTTTGAGATGTTTCTTTTTGGCTATAGGTCTAAGAACCAACTTACTTCAAACTAAGTTGTATGGTGTGGGGTTATTGCTAACCAAGTTTTTTCTATGGCTCTACGTATGGGTTGTGTGTTGGGTACCCTTCCTTTCTTTCATTTGGGAGTGCCAGTTGGTCAGAATATGGCTAGGATTGCGTCTTGGCCTCCTATTATAGATTGTTTTCAGACTAGATTGGCTAGTTGGAAGGCAAAATATCTTTCTTATGGTGGTAGACTTACTTTGATTAAGTATGTCCTCAGGTCTATTGGTAGTTATCTGATGTCCATATTTCCTGTTCTGGTCACGGTGTTGAACTCTTTAGAGAAGTTGAGAGTTGCCTATATTTTGGGGAGCGGATTTGGATGATCGATGTATGCATAAGGTGTGGGTAGTCTTTTTGCCAATAATAGTGTGTTACTTCTCTAGTGGTGTTGGCATAAGGTGTGGGTAGTCTTTTTGCTAATAATAGTGTGTTACTTCTCCAGTGGTGTTGGCATTTTTTTATTACCCGAATTTGATGTGGGTTAAGGTGGTGAAAGTCTTGTACGGGTTGGATGGGCGCTTTTCTCTTCTGATCCCGAGGAGAAATTGGTCGGGCCTTTGGAATGGTATAACTCGAATGTTAACCAATCTTAAGGATCGTGGGTCAGATTTTGAGAACATATGCCCTATTAGGATAGGAGATGGAGTGAACACTTCCTTTTGGCATGATATCTGAATGGGAGATACTCTGTTTGATGTTTCTTTCCATAGACTGTTCGCGTTGGATATTCACCATACGTGTAATGTTTGAGAATGTATCGAGCTTGGATGGGATATAGGTACTCTTAGACGCGTACCAAGGGGAGGTATTGAGCAGAATCAATGGGATATGTTCTTGGTGTTGATGCAGGGTGTGCAACTTACATCCATACCAGATAGGCTAAGGTGGACTTTAGATACTACTGACATTTTTTCAGTTTCTTCGGCTCGTATTTACCTAGATAACGGGTTGTTTATTTCAGAACGTATGGTTACTAGATCGAATAATTGAGTTCTTATTAAACTTAATATTCTCATTTGGAGAATGCAACTTCACAGTATCCCTATAAGGGAGAGACTTTCTTCCGGAGGTATTATGGTGGCGTCGATTATGTGCCCGATTTGCTCTTGTGTAGTGGAGACCATTTGGCATCTTTTTGCAGGATGTCCAAAGTGATTGATATTTAGGGCTATATTGCTATTTGGTGGGGTTTCAGTATTCCTGATCAAATTTTTGTGTAGTCTTTACTCTGTTGGTCTGATGGTGTCACATTGAGGAGGGTCAATGAAAGGTTTTTGATGCAGTCATCTTGACTACGATTTGGAGTATTTGGAATTTCATAAATTTTGTCATCTTTGGATCGGTTATCCCAAAAAAGTCTTTTTTATTTGATGATGTAGTAGATAAGGATTTCTTTTGGATTTCTAATTGCTCTAGCAAATATAAGATAACTTGGACCGCCTTCATAACTCAACATTAGATTTTATTTTGATGTAATTGTTTCTTTTAGCATCTTGCTAGTTCAATAAAATTTTGCCATTCAAAAAAAAAATTGTTTTTCATGAAAGGATTAAAAAAATAATCATATTATTTTTTAGTGCATTTAAACCATCATGTTTTTTTTTGAAATATTCTAATCTAATGAGTTGTAACAATTAAAATGTTGAGAATTGATTACCTAATATTTTTGGCTATCGAGAATTTACCAAGTTCAATACCTTAAATGATACATTTTATAAAATATAAGAGTTTTAACATACAAAAAAAATAATATAGTTGTTTTTTTTACGACTTTTTTGAAAATACGTTGGGTTTTTAAAAGGTTTTCCTTATATTTTTCAAAAAAAAAAATCCCTCGCATTTAACATGTTTTTTCGGAAAAGAAAAAAGATGAGAAATTCAAAGTCTCTTTAAGAAAAATATAAATTAATGTTTAACTAGAGAATGAAGTGTTGGGTTTAAAACATACAATCACAGATGCACGTAGATACATATTAAAAACACACACATCACAGACACATAATCTTTTGACAATTTTAAATTGTTTTCTGTTGTTTTGACAATTTTCCCCCAGCTTGGTGTTTTCCTTAGATGCCGTCTTTGAATTGAATGATACGACCATAAACCGATATGAAAGCGATCTTGATCCTGGTGTCTATCTGATAAAAAGTTCCAACTCAGATCTCGAAAAAAGAAGTTCCCCCGCAATCTTCCGGCGGCATTAGTTGTATTGTGTGTAATCTATGTAAGGTGTATAGCCAAGAGCCTATAAGAAAGAATAAAATTAGTTGATTTGATTTTTTTTAGATTTAGTAAGGATCTTCATTAATTAAGAATATACCCGAAGGCAGCCATTTTTGTTATGTAACATTGCATTAAATAAGGATTTGGTTGCATTAATTTGTATAATATTTCTTTTAATCTCTGTAGTGACTAAATACATAAATGGAATTAGGGAAAGAATTAGGCCCTCACTTTTATTTTTCCCAACAGTTGTAGCAACTTGTCATCAGTGGCAGTAGCAAAATGTTGAATCTCACTCTCTTTCGCAGATAAACTAAGACGCCATGGAAACTGTTCTAAGAAAAACGTAATTAAACGAATATGCAAACTCAATTATGTATAAGCCCTCATCCCAAAAGCGGTACTAAATTACATTCACTTTTGTGAGATTCCATTACTATTTAATAATTATAGTTGAGAATTTATTGAACCACAGAGATTAACCAGTCTTCAAACACAAAGTGTGTATGATCAAAACAAACCTTATCTACGTCCACATTAATCATTTCAATAATCCACGTCTCTTCTATATTTTTTGTTTTTTCTTTAAAAGTAAATGGCTCTTATTGTAAATGATTTTCATTGTTAGTTTCAAACTATTTTCACTCATATATGTAGGTTATACAAACACTATTTGTTATTTTTTTAATATGTTGGTCAATTAAATTGTAATGTGGGTTTTCTAACCTAAGGCTATGATTTACCTCATGATAATGGGAGGTGGTATTGCAGCGACAATTCAATCAAGAATTCACGAAGGATACAATTTTTAAAATTTTGTAGGATTAAAGGTAACCAACGACTAAAAGAGTTGGAAAAACAATATCTTCATTTATTTATTTTCGTTTTTTTTAAGTATGACAATATTACAAATATTACATTTCAATCTGCAACATATATGTTATCGTAAAGTCTCCCTATAAGTAACCAAACATTTTAGAAGAATGGAAAGAGTTTTGTTTATATTCTTTACTAGGTGTAAAACCCGTGTATTACACAAGTTGATTAAAAAAAATAAATTTTAAAATGTAAATAATAAATATTTTTTAAAATAAAATTTTGAAATAAGAAATAAATAAGCATATTAATTGCAATTTATTATAATATTTATTACATTTGATACTTTACCTATATAACTATAACATTATGTGGCTTTTTAGTTTTGAAAATTAAAAAACCATAAAATAACACGTGAATATTATTTATTTAAAAAATATTACAAAATGACAAGTGTCAAAACTCATTAGAGATTGACATGTGCCAAAAAACATTCATTTATTAGAGATGATAGTATATCACGTTTTGTACTATATCATTTTAATTAAGTGAGTTAACCTCTATTAATATGAACTTTAATAATTAAATGAATTTTTCTAGTCAAGATTCAAGGTTCGACTAGCTAAGCTAATTACAAATGGAGATAATAAAAATGATGACACATCAGCTTGATGCCAAAAAAAAAAAAAAAAAAAAAAGAGTTAAGGTTATAGTTTTTACTTTTTTTTACGGGATAACCTTTCTGCAGTTGATATTCTTTCAGCTTGCAATCTTGTAAATTATTTTGGGAAAATGATTCTTGGAGTTTTGGGGTTGTCTTTGTTTTTGTCATTGAAATTAGCATAAACAATGCCTTTGTCTTATTTTATTGTATTTCATTTGTTGAGGTACTTTGTAGATACGAGACAACATACAAATAGCCAAATTTAGTTTTTGAAATTAACTTTCATTTGGTTGTCTATTGAAA